CATTTCTAAAATTCTGTTTTCAGTTTGTCATTATGGGGTACTGAGTGTAGATTAATGAGAAGAAGAAAAAAAGAATTTGAACGATTGTAGTATCAGGCTGCAACATAACAAAATTTTAAAAAGTGAAGAGGGTCTGAATACTTTCTGAATACACTGTATATATGAAAATGTGGGAAGGTATAATTTGAGAATCTCTTCTTCAGTTGTTACAACAGCATCTCTTCTATTAAACATAAGAACTAATCTAGAGATTGGAACTCTTTTTGCTGGAAAAGAACTGCAAAGTATCTTTGTTGTACTCAAAGAGAAAAGTCTAATTGAGAATACATGTGGGAGTATAGTGTGGGTGACAACAAAGTGAGTAATATTGTCAAATTAACATATGGCTAATGTCACTGCTGTTGAGGTTGTTCTGTGCAGATAATGGGGAAAATTTATGTGTTATGGCATGCAGGTTGGTAACTATTGTAAAAAAGTTACCATGCAAATCTAGATAAGTGGAAAACTAGCACATAATTGTTCCTTCTGTTGTGCAGTGATTTGCATGGGGGAGGGTACATGAACAGCTGCAACTTTCAGCACCTGCCTATAATCTGAAGTTATGACTGCACTATATTTCTTTATGGGTAAGTTGCTTGGCAAATAACCCTGAATATGAATCATGGAATATTGCATATTTTGATAATAGAAAAAAGTCTCATTCAAGAACAGCTTCACTTTTGCAGAGATAAGGATTTATTTTGGCAATTTTCACCATTGGAGACACCATTCAACAAATTCAGAAAACTGTTTTAGAACAGTAGCAGTGTGTTGAATAATCTAGTGTCAAGAATATTCAGTTTCTATTGCTACTGACTATAATAAATGGAAAAATAAAGAACATACATGTATCTCTGAAAGAATGAAAATTTTAGTAAAGCACTATTAGTCAAACTGACTATGTTATCAAGAATTCAGATAACATATTATGAATATTAATAAAACAATATTTACTATATTGGATAGTACAGTAAGAATATTATAAATACCTTGTCTAGCGGTATACTCGTTGTCTTCTATTAATCTTGCTAATCCAAAGTCAGCAATTTTGCACACCAGATTATCCCCTACAAGAATATTAGCTGCCCGAAGATCTCTATGAATGTAGTTCATTCTTTCAATGTAGGCCATGCCATCAGCAATCTTACAAAAAATGTATCTTATTAACAAAGCAGTATTCAGTCAATGAAATACTTAATACAAAGTCATGAAAATGGTAACTGTTTTATTCTGCGGTTACATATTATGAAAACAATAGATTTACAATGTTTAGATTCCATAATATGTAGCAATATTATTTTGCAACAGAATTAAATAAACTCAAGTTAGAAAAGACTATACATTATTCTTTCTGTTCTCTGAGTATTACACACGCAACACAAGTTATGCAGTGCAATTTTCTAGAACATTCTCTAGCTGATCTTTTTGGAGAGAAGCTGATGTCTAAAGTGCCTGGTTACACTGAATTCCCCAGAATTCCCTTTCTGGCTGCCCCTGAGGCCACCACTCAAAACTTCTGTTTTAAACTTTCTCTATGCTATTTTGCACATTTTTTCTCTTTTGGTTTTCTCTTTCATCATTTCTACTTTTGGTGTTTTTGCTTTGTGTTTTTCTTCACCAAGGGCTGACTTCTTAATCTATGGTTCCGTGACCATTTTTCAGCATACCATTGGTTTCAGGAATAAAATCCTATGTACAGTACTGACAGTAATTCCCAGTGCTTGTTTTCTGTTGAATGAGACCATAGGACAGACACTTGCCCATAGTACTGCTGTTGTTTTAACCCTAAGATACATCTCAGTTGATGATTTCTCCCTGGGAACAGGTCTTGTAAACAAACCAAATTTTAAAAAGTAGTATCTGCCTTCTGCAAAAGCTTGTGCATGGGATGAGATGGTGCTGTTACAGTCAGTCCCTAGTGTTCTTCAGTGCCTGCTCTGCCTTTGATTCTCCTAGTTCCAAGTTCCCATATCAGTTTTGAATTGAAGAGCCATGTATTTTTGACACCGGGCCGTTTTATCTTGGTGAAGATAAAAAGGTGAAGACAAAATTGGAAAGACAACAAAGTGAAAGCTGGAGAATTCCACCTGACAAGGAGAGAAGGCCTAAGTTTAACCCATCCTCTGCTGTTGCAACTTCTAAAACTGGTATGCTGCCCTATAACCAGGAATTCTTGGTATGGCTTCCAGCACATTAACCCAGGAAACAAATATTTTAAATAATATATATAGTAAAGCACAATAATTAAAAAATACAATACTAACACCATAAAATAACAATAACAGCAATGGCCCAATTAATTAAAAATGAACACACTGATTTAAAATGTTAGGGAGAATTAAAAAAAATGTCTAGTATCAAAAAATAAAATTGTCTCCAAGGGTACCTTACTGGGGATGGGATTCCAGATGTGTTGGGAGGAGACACTGAAAAAGCCCACTTCCAAATAGCTGCTTATTTTACCTTAGCAGGAGCTGGACCTCACAAATTATCTCAGGCCAAATCCTATATAGTGCGCAGGCGGGAAGTTATGCCAAGAAAAATGCACTAGAGTCAGCACAAATGAAGATCTTGGGAATTATGCTTGCTGGCTCTAACGGGATAGCAAATGCCCAGATTAAACTGGAGACAGGAATGCCAAAAATCTACACAAATTTAGAACTTGATAGCTAATTATTGGCTGAAAACTCAGTTTCTTCCAATAGGCTTGCCACCTTTAATTTCTGCTAATGACTTCCCCTCAAACTGGAAACTGGTGGTAGAGCATCATATAGGCTTTTGGCACCATTTTTAATGTCATTAGAATATGATCAGGCTAATCTCTGATCCCTCATCCATAGCACCAATGAATGATATGGAACATCAGGCTGAGGTATATAGGTTCTCCCAGAATAGCAGAATTTGGGTTGCTAAGGGTATATGGGAACTAGCAATTATTTACACACTCTTATGTTTCCCAAGCTGAGAAAAATATTATATAAAACTAGACATAACATCCTGCCTTCTACACTGCTGCAAGGCAGGTAAGCTAAACTTGTACTAATTGAGCATACTTGCCCATGTAGTGCTAATGAATCAGAAAGACTCAGCCATGTACTCTTACACCATAAATTTTACAGGGACATTTGGATGTACTGTATTTTAGTCCTGTTTTGCAAACGTGTGGAAGATCAGGTAAGCACTGTGTGAAGTTCCTTTTAGAAGATTTTAAACCCTTGGGGGACTTCTGGGGAAGAAGTTTTCAGAGTCAATGACTGCAATGGAATGAAGGATAGCTGACTGGACCAGCTTTTTGATAATTCCTCTCCAGACAGGGACAGGACTTGAGATTGCCCACAAGTGCTCCAGACAGCTGCTCCTCATGAGGAGACACAAAATAGCAGTCACCAGTGGGTTTAGAGCTCTGGAAAACAAGGGAATAACTATCTTGCTCAAACCACTGTCAGTACCTTTGAAAGGACACTAAGTTCTTATACTTCCTTTTCTAATCACTTTCAGAAGTTGCTTGTTAACTACTTTTTAACTATTAGGAACCTTTGGATCAACAAGTTTGTCAGCACTGGGTGAGTTTCCTTCAATCCTAAATGAAAGAAAGTTTTAACTACAAATTTAAGAACTTAAAAAAAATTGGGAATAAACAGCAAAAGGGTGATTAAAACTTTGATTTTAGAAAGTTACAAATGGACTAAAGGTCAAGATAAATTTGAAATAAGATTTTTGTAATTAATTATAAAGAATAATTCCCATGGGAAAATGCTTTTGTTTTGAATTTTAAAAAAAACCACAAGATTTTAAAAATTGGACACTAGAGGGAACTAGAGGGAACTAAAGATTACAATTAAAGGAGAACACTCAAACTCAACTTACAATTACAGAATGAAGCAAAATATTTTAACATTGGACATAATGAAGGACCTTTTTGAACAATGGACTCAGAAGTTAATTTTAATAGTCTCTGTGTCTAAAAGATGTCATGGAAGAGGAACAGGTTTTACCTGATAAGATTAAGACTGAGCTGAAAGTGGTTATAAAAATGATAGGCTACAAGAATGACATGGAAAAAGATGTTACACTGGACATACAAAAGAAGTCAGCTGATGTCTTAATTAAAAGGGATATACAAACAACAAACCAAGAGAGTTGCCTGGATAATTTTCCTGTATTGGATTTACAAAAGAGGCTTGATAAACTTATAAAGAATTTTGTGAGAAGGGACAAAGAAAAAATGAAATCAAGTTCTATGACATTTATTTGACTAAAAATGAAGATTGTTAGAAGTAAAAGGAAGGAATATAAAATTGGTTTATTTGATCAAAATTAAAATAGATACACTGTTATCTCTGGTAATCCTTAATGGACTTTTGCTGACATTAGGACTGAAATGACAAGGCTTTATGGATCTGTTTATAGATAAGAGATGGAATATGGGAAGAAGAGCTCATTTGTTGTATTTTAAGAGAAGGTGATAAGTTACTAAACGTGATGATGGGGAAAATCAGTTCTTTATATATAAATAGTCCCTGGGTTAAGAACGCCCGGTTTAAGGACAACCCATAGTTAAGAATGGAGCCTACTGTAGCAAAATTTGAGTTAAATACACAATTAAATACACAATGGTTTAAATACACAATTAAATACACAATGGTTTG